ACATGGAGGAAGACTTGGCTTGGGAGGGATGACTCTAAAGAGGCAGTCCTTCTCCTCTTTTTAGTTCCCAGAGGGTCCTGGATGACTTTTCATTGATTAGATCAGGTGCTACGGAGCACTTAAAGGCTCTAAAACATAACCTCTGTATTACAACAGCACCGTTCGCCTTTTTACAAGTTAGTCTGTGGGCATGTGGACAACTGACGAAACAAAGTCTGTAAATGACATCAAATGAGCCAGTGTTGCATGTGAGAGACAGCTTAAATAAGTAACTGTACAAATACGTCTGGTGACACTGCTGATATAAATGGGGATGTATGACTCATTGTCTCGAATAGTATACAGTAGTCAGGGATTTTTGTATCAGTGATGTGTGATAGTTAACCTAATTATAAATAATGCAATAGACTTTTTGGATTGTAAAGAAATAAACATTCAATAATTGTTCAAAGATGCACTCACCATTTTTCTTAATGTTATTACATTTTTGCAGATGGCAATAATGAATGAGAAATGATCTGTAACGTATTCACAAGTCAAATGTTTGTGAAGGAGTTTGTGTCGTGTTGAGACTTGGAGTATCAATCAAGAATTGTGCCAACTGTGCAATAAGTATGATGTTAGCACAGGGTCAGAGGTGCTGAACGTCTCTGTCTGGTTCCTTGTATGATGCTTTGACCTTGTGCCTACAGGTCCTCAGTTTGGTGGCTCCAGTTACTCCTTTCTGGTGTACGCTTTGTCATCAGCTGTGGTTTTTCTCCTTCTGCTCTTCACTGGATTTGTGGTGATTTCTAAAGTGAGTAGCTTTTTATGTGCCACTTTGAATATACATATATACACGAGGCAAGAGGTGGAAATGTGTCACAAGTATTTCCACCTACACTGCCTGTTTGTTGCCGTCAAGATCCTCTGCAGCCAACCACAGAAACCCCCACTGGTTTCAAAACTTTGTGCAGCCAGTTGCCACCTTTGAGTTAAACCCCCTCCTCTTCTTGCTAGTTTATTTCAGTTTATTTGAGTGCTAATAAAATGGTATCACAGGACTTTTCTAACCTTTTCTAACTATAAGTCATGTCTGAGTTAGGTTAACACTTGCTCTTAAATTTCCACCGAGGATGCTGCATTGAGAGAAAATGATACATTTTGATTTCAACACAGGAAATTGTGAGTGTATGTTAATTCTGTCTTTTTTCTCCTCTTTTCACAATGACTGTCAGTGCAAAGGATCTCAGAGTATGAAGTCACATGAAGCCGATGTCTACGAGGAAATGGGTGGGGCAACACCTCCCAGTCAAACACAAGCACCTGCCCATCAGAGGGAAATAACAGAAGCTTCCCAACAAAGTAAACTTCACCTGGGGAACCCCTATGAATTTCAAGAGGTGCTCTCATCAACATCATAAACTAGAGTGTCCAAAAACACTGAACTCCAGTTAGTGTGCAGAATTCTTTTCAGTACATCTTATATCTTTTAAATCTCCTGCATATTGCTAGACAGCTTGTATTCTGACATTTTTTTTTTTTTTACCTTATTATAAAATAACTTTGGCTGCTTTTGCTGGGATCATAGTGATTAAATGGTCTGTACATTACTGAATTTTATTCTGCACTCCGTTACATATCCCAATATACATATTCTTTCCAGATACTTAGCAGTTGTCTCAGATTTGAGTAGATGGTGGTAAGTTGATCCATTTTAGCAGACAAATAATCTATCAAAGGGCTTCGTTCTGGTGTGCGGTGACTCAACTCAGCAGAAAGTCTGAGTTGACAAAGGAAGTAGATAATCAGTTTTGCAGTACTCGTTATCTCTAACTGAGGTTTTTAGGTTTTGTGAAGACAGATAACACAAAGATATACTGAACTTATCTTGTAGTGCATTCACCCACCTTTTTACACGTTAAACTGAACATTTGGGTTATGTAACAGGAAGAAGGAATAAAGAATGCATGGTTACATTGTAACACTGGTTCTTTGAGTAAGTAGACTAGCCAGTATAGGTGGAAGTAAGCGGTTACATATGGAATGTGAGTGAGTCTCTTCACTCAGAGAACCAGCATTACAATGTAACCATACGATAATACAATGTAACATTTTGAAGGAAACCAGTAAGAAAATGTTAATGGAAAATAATCAGACGTGAATTGAATCTGGCAGGGTTTCATCTAAAATGAACACCACACCTGGCCCTGCACCAGTCCAGCACAGAGGGCTCTAGACATCACCACAACACAGAAAACTAAGCAGTTTATCCTAAAGCAAAATGTACCAAACTGCTTAGTACTTTGAACCTTTGAACAGCACAAAATTATTATATTTCAGTTAGCTCTGAAAAAAGATAGAAAAGATAGAAATCTCTACTTGTTGCAGGGAGAAATGGGAGAAATGTTTCATCACTCATCCAACTGATTTCTTCAGTCTCAGTTGACCGCAGGTTTCCCAGCTTTATAAACCGAGCAGTTGCATAACATTCAAAACTAGCATCATTGCCTAACAATAAGCCATAAGATCGGTTTTGCTTTCATTAATTTGAAACTGTCATGACCGTTAGTGTTGTCATCAATATAGTTAAATATAATAAATATAGTTCATGCAAACAGTCATGGCAAATTACCTGTTAACAATGAGAAACTGCTGTGGCTCAATATTTGGCAGTTGTGCTGATTTTGATTGTTTTGCAACTTCATCTACACAACTGTACTGTTTATAGGATTGAGGAAACTTGCGATGAACGGAAATTCTAACAACGAATCAGAAATTTTACCGCCGTTGGGACAAGGTTGGTGAATACTCAATTCTCACCAATTGTGTCATGTGTTAATATGTCATTTTTTTACATGCTGCATCGTACGGTTTTCTAAATGTGTTTATTTGCTGTGATTTACTGTAGCTACCACTGTTTCACTTACTATCCCAGATTTGTTTGTGTGAGCATTGTGTTGCAGTTTGCATTAAAGTCATTTTAAAGCAAATGCAGTCTCAGTTTTTTTTTTTTTACAATGTTGCAGGTTTAAATATTGTTTATTCCTTTGATCATACATTGGTTCTGAGACTCCAAAGCCTGATTTCTTTTTTAATAGCAGTTGGGCTAAATCAAGTGGAGGTGGGCTTTTTTCTTTTGTTTTATCACTTAAAAAAATACTTTGCTATGAACATTTGTCTCTGTATGGTCCTATTAAGTTACATAGCAGTCATCAGTTAGTGAGTGTTATGTAATTGGAGATTTACTGGCTTTAGCTATACTGGCACCAGCTAAACTAACTGTGTGTGCACAGACAGCCCTATAAACACACAGTCAGTGGTTTCCTCAGATCAGGAGAAGTGAAGTGAGGCGGTAGTGCCTAGAATGTGTTTGTTTCCAGTTACAATGAGTTATTTTGGTCTTAGTTTCACTTCATGTACAACGCTCACCTCTGGGAACTCAAAATGTTTGGTGAGTCTGTCTAACCCATCACACTCCGTGAAGTTGTACATAAATTAAATGTTCTGAAGGATTTTACATCACTTTGACAACCTTGCCTTTCAGTAAAGAACTGAACCAAATTAACTAAGAAAAGAATAATCAAGTTTATTTATATGGTGTCAAACCACAAGTTATCTCAAAGTGTTTTATACTGTAAAGCAAAGATGGCCTGGTTCTTGTATAGTGCCTTAAACAACATGCCTCATTCACTTATTCATATAAGTATGTTTTGTCTGCACCTAAGTTCTAACATTTTCAGACATCCATACTCCAATGAACGTATCAGAGTGAACAGACAACCACCAAACCTCCAATTAGTAGATGACCTGCTCTACCTCGTAAGCTACAGCCATCTCTACAGTTTTAAGATAGCATTATTGGTATAATAAATAAATAAATAATAATAAAATTAAAAAAAATTAAACAAAATCTTAAAGATACAGTAATTTTTGAGATTATGTAATAGAAAAAGATGATGTACTCATAACTATACAATGATTAGTGTGTGATTATGTGCTACAACAAATTGATGTGATGATAAGCTAAAAAAAAAAAAGAAAGAAAAAGAATCCATTTAAAATAAACAAGAGCGCCGGTTTGTGGAAGCTGCTATGTTGTCCTGCTATTTTAAATACAGCAGCTGAGACGGACACGTTTTGCCTGATCTTGTTTTATGTATCTAGCAAGAGATCGACCACTTATAGACCTATTGTACACCTTATAAGTTGTTTTTTTTTTTTTTTTTTTTAAAAAACTGCTTTCAAACTATATATGATCATTTAACAATTGTACACGCTTATTTTCATCCTCATCATCAGAGCTGTAACACATCAAAACATGCCTAAACATTATTATTACTTACTGTGAGACATGCCACCCTTCCACCTCTGGACAGCTGACAAGTGGGCTAGACAATAACTTAAAACAGCTGGTTTTAAGTTATTGTTATTGGTGCTACATAAATAGAATTGAATTTAACTGAACTGAATTGAATGTCCAATGTTAGATCCACTTCAAAGAAAATTTCACTAATACCAGCCAACAGCAGCGCTTACTAACAAACGTTCAGGACACCATCAAAAGCAGAAGTGAGCTTCTGCGACTTGTATTAGTTTTCACGCATTTCACCTGGCATTGCCAGCTGAGGTAGACAGCAGACTAACAGCCTGCATTTACTACAGATAAACTACCAAAACTACCACAGTGTGCTTTTCCCTACAGCAGCCACTGTAACTAGGATTATGCAATTAAATTGGAAGGGGTAAAACACCAGAATTCAGTTGGCTGCAATCTAAAGGTGCTGACATTTTACACATTGTACCTTCAACATACCTCTTGGCTGTTACTTTGGAGCATTATAAAAATGTTCACCAGACCATAAAATCTGCACGTATGGAATCACAAGTAAAATCAAAACTGCTAAAATCAGTTTTAAAAGTTTGATTTTAGTTGCCCCCCCCCCAAGCTTTTTTTCCCTTCTACTATTAAAAAACATACAATCAAACAAAGAAAAAAAAAAACAGGACAAGATACAAAATAACAGACAAGAAAATTTGCAGTTTATTAATATAGTCCGAAAGAAGTTCCATAAATCCATGGAAACATTTTTTTTTCGGTGCATGTCTTTAACAATCACATTCTATGAGGAGAAAAAAAGAACAACATTAAAAGCCACAACTTTGTATTTCAGTTACAGACAATTTTACTTTTTTTTTCTTCAAAGTAAAGAGAAAGGCAAAGGCAAAGTACCCCCACTGCCACAACCCACCCGCCGTCCTCCCCTTAAAAAAAAACAAAACAGACAGCCTTAAAAGTAACGGGCTTCTTTTTTGTTTTTTCCTCAGTACAACCCACAGTGCTTTAGCAGAAGGATAAGCGCTCATTGGTTAAGGATTACACAGCATGACGACGCAATGTAAAATTTTGCTAAAACATTAGATGACAATGGGTGGGATGGGAGTGGAAGAAATTTCAGCAAAAAACACACACAAAAAAAATGAAAACCCTCCATCAAACCCTGAACCCCAGAGTCTGAGTCAACAAACGCCCGCAGTACAGCAGCAGGGTTTGGACTCCTCCCTCCCACTTGTGCATAGATCATGATCCATTAAAAACCAGCTTTATTCCTCCTCTTCAACATGCCTCTGAAAACCATCTGTTACATGTTAAGAAATCTCTCAGCTATTCAATACCTGTCACAGGAACTGACATGTTAACAGGCAGGAGAGATGATTTTAAAACAAGCAAACAAAAAGTGTCTTGCACGTGCTCCTGAACTACAGGATGGAAACTCAAAGTCAAAACATACAAATGCATTTTCCTGTCACTGTCATAATGACAATCAAACCACTGATCGCGTTTAAATGTAAAGCAATTTCTACTTCAAATTTCACATGTAAAGCGCTCCACTTTTCTCAAAGTTGATTCTTAGTCTTATTTGGTAAATATGTGACTTGCTACGAACATTTTTTGTTGTTTTAAAGAAACAATGGTAATCTCTATATTCTGTTAAACTCATAAACTTCAGTGCTTTCTTGGAGTTTAATAGTTCTCAGTTGCTTATTTTCACACGAACATCAAACCTAGAAATGATGGAGTTGGTATCTGGAACCCTGGCCTTCCTGAGACAAAATCCACATCTTTTTTGTTTTTTTTTTAATGAGTGTGCAAGATAGTGAGTAAACTGCGTTGCAGTATTACAGAAAACATAAAATCACCACATAACACATACAGAGATAGTCCATCGATACTAAAAGAGAAATTAAAAATTGAAATATGACAACACTGATCAATCCCAGAGTTCTGAAAGTAGCATAAATCTTCATTTTGCAAGATTTTCATGTCCATATTTGATGGAAGATGAAATTTGTCCTTAAAAAACAAAACAAAAAACAAAACAAAACCAAAAAACATTCCTGTTTCCTTGAACTCAGATAAATGAAATGCTTTGTAAACGACAGGTGGCTTTTGCAAAATAAAAAAAGAAAAGATAGGCACCTCTGAAATGAGTCTTATAACAAACTCACCTCCCACACTTTATCCCTTTCCGTCTCTCCATGAAGTTAAAATCGGGATTACTAGTCCTTCTACAGCTATCTATGGCCACAGTTCTTTGTTTGTTTTTTTTGTTACTCTTTTTTTTCTTTTGTCATTTTTTTTGCACATTTTTCTTTTTTAATTTTTTTTTCCTATTTTTTTTTTTTTTTATATATAATTGGAACAAAATGGTGCAATACTCAAGATAATCCTTGTATTGGATTATTCCACAATAAAAGCCACTATAAGGTAGATAAACTTTTTACAGAATGGAAAAACAAAGTCCTTGAGTAAACATGTACACATGAATTGTCACCATCGCCCCTCCGTACTTAGACTCGTTTAACTACGATTAGCTGAGTGAGGGGTAGAAGACACTCAGTGCAACGTTAGAAGATAACAACGTCTATCAGAATAGTTTTTGACAGATCATCAACAATAACAACAACGAAAAAAAGAAGATATAAACAGACACAAAATATAACGTACTGAGTGGAACATAACAGCAGGCCACGTGCCCTGTACACACAGTTTCTTGAGCACACATTCATACAAACATCTGACTTTCAAGCACACATCTAAGATGACTTTGTTGTTTTTTTTTTTCCAAAGATTTTGTATTTGTAACTTAATGCAATACACATCTGATGTTCTCTAAAAGCCCCTAAGTGTACCTGTCAGATGGAAAGAACAAAAAAATAATAATTACCGACTTCACATTATGTTATTGGCGTTCAATGATTCAAGTATTTCTGTTCAATGTTTTGTTTTGTTTTGATATGTTTGTGATTTCTTTTTTTTTTCTTTTTTTTAATCAACTGGGTAAAATATGCATTAAACCAGGTGATTCAGGTTGGGCTTTTAGGCAGCCTAATTAACAAACAAATAACACACATATACAGTACAAACACTTCATAGTACTGTAATATGTCATCAAAACCAGAACGTGCATATCTGACTCCGTACAAGAAAGACTTTGCTTTCGATCAGTCAAGTATCAGTTTATACCCGACTCAAATTCTTTCCTTTGTCTCACTTATTTGCGGGGAAAATACATATTGCTCATTTTCAGCTGTGTTAAACCAAGACCTTTCAAACTAAAATGAAAGTTTCAGAGGTTACGATCCAAGAAGTCTGAAGAGGTGATACCACACACCGTACTCACAGTATATATATATATAGATATATATATTTATATGTAGTGTATACATATACTGCTATCTAGAACAGAGCTGTAGAGAGGAGAGCCTCTCGATGCTGGTGCAGCATGGGAAACCCCCTTCACTGTCAGGGTTCTCCAGTTAGTACAGGATGCTGGGAGGTCCTCGGCTATTGGGTCTGTCTGAGCTTGGATCAAGGCAGTTACAGAAACAGGCAATAGTGATTTTTGCTTGTGTGCTGCAGGACTGCAAGTCCTGAAAGGTAGCCTTTTCCCGTTTTCTTATTTTTTATTTTTTTTTAATATATATTTTTAAGCTTTTTTTTTTGTTTTTTTGTTTCATTTTTAAGACTTTGTACCTCTTGAAATGTGCCTCTCTGCTCCTGCTGATGCAGAATCAGAGAGTGAGGCTGATACAGTGGGCCCAAGCCACCTGGGTCTGTGGAAATGTACAGTTCAGTGGGCCTGCTTTGAGCAGGGCACAAACGTAAAACGAGATAAATACAGCATCCACAAAAAAAGGCACCCCAGCCACCGCTCTGCTCCTTTAGATGTTGGTAGCAGAGGCTGATGACCAGAGACGTTTCAGCTAGAAGTGCAGAGCTTTTAACATATTATAGATCTTTTTTTTTCCATTTAGATTTTTTAGCATTTTTAAGATTTTTATGTCAAACTTCATAAAAATGACGTTAAAATGCAATTTCATTTTTGGTTTTAAAAAAATATGTACCCGGGATTACCCATCATCAACTGTGCACTGTAGCAAACCGGAACCCCCAACTGAGTAAAGATTTTCTCCTTAGCTTGGGGCATTCCCCACAAAAGCATAAAAAAAAATCTCAGTCGCTTCAGGGTGTGATGCTGCCGCCCTTTTGTTTGATCCCTCCTGTCCCCCCCTACACCCTCTGCAAAGGTCATCGAAGCTCCTCCAAACAGGGAACAGAAGTGCTCTCTATAAATATACAGTATGACACAGCAAATTTATATTGGCACAATACATTGGCATCTTTTTACATGCAATAATGTCTCCCCAAACAATAACAAGAGGCCATCTTTTTGGGAAGAGGATTCAATGCGAGCCTCTTCCCCCCTACAATAAGGATTCAGTTTCGAGGCATGAGGTCTGTACGTCCTGCTGCGTGCAGATGGCCTTCGAAGTTTTAGACTTTGCTCTCACAGTAGAAAGGACAGATACGGAGAGCTGCATCTCATACTTTGTATCATCAACTCCCCTACCCTGAGATCAAGCTGGACAGAAGCGTCTTCAGCTCAGAGAGAAAGGCCGACCTTTTGATAAAGTGTTCTAACTTTTAGATACATGACAGTGTTCTGGTGGCTGAGCCTGACTTTACAGAAACTGCGGCCAGTTTGAAGTGCTGACAGGAGCGCATGGGGGACAATTGTTAGGATATGCCAAGCTCTGGGAGGAGTGCTCATTCCCAAGACAGCTTTGGCGTGCTGTAAAGGGCCCCAGCCTCTCGTCTTTTTGCATAGAAACAGATATGAGGGCCTGTAGGTGCCTGGTCAGGGGAGGGCTACTGGGTCTTCTTGTGGTGGAGGAGAAGGAGGAGAGGAGGTCATAGCATAGCAGCTAGGCAAAGGGCAAGGGGGGACAGCCTGCGGGCAGGTGGAGCAGCTTGGAGCGGCAAACACCCACATCCCCGTCTGAGACACCTTTTTTTTTTTTCTTACACATCTCAAGATACTACCTGGAAGTACTACAGAATACTGTCAAACGAAGAAAGCATGATCAGTTAAAAACAAATAGACAATCATTAACGGTCTGTAGTATTGATCCTCATTTTGCATTCAATACACAGGATGAACATACAGAGGCACCTCTGACCAAAGTGTTTCTGCATATGAACAGTGAAGGGCTAGTTCAGCAGCCAGTACTTTGTAGACCACTGCATGTAGATAAAAATAACAATATAACACACTGGAAAAAAAAAAGTCAAATGATCTTTTCCAAAAAATACAAAGTACACTGGCAAAAATTCCAGAAATATGACTATTACATCTTCCAGCTAAAGTGATCTTTGTGTCAAAGAACTGAGAGATGGGAGGTGGGGGAGAGGGCAGGATGACAGCAGGGTCGAGTGGTAGTGGGCCCCTGTTGGAGATGCCGTGTGTGCGGCAGAGAGCCGTGATTGGCCAGTCCCGGAGGATCTGTTTTTCACGCCAGACTGAGAGACGGTCAAGTGGAGCCCAGGAGGAAGTGCTGCGCTGTGGGGCTGCCGCTCGACATCCAGAGGACCACAGCAAAGAGGCACTCAGTGGACACTCCCCCACCTCACCCCACTCTGACTCAACCACTGACTGACCGGATTGGCTGTCCAGCGGGTGTCAGAGACCACTGACACTGCAAAGTCTAGAGCCTCCAAAGAGAGCAAGGATAACAATTTTTGGAGTAACAGTGATAATCACGTTGATATAGTTCAAAAAAGGGGAAAAAACCAAGAGTGAAGTTTTTTCCCCCAAAAGTCCAATGGTACAGTTCAGTTTTGTTTCCCTTCAGCCTGCTACCAGAGGAACAACGCCAGACACGTTTCCATGGAATAGATACAGTACATAAAAGAGCAGTACTTTTTTTGTGTTGTTTTCATCGTTTTTGCTGCTCCTTTTTGATTTATTGGATTGCAGTTGAAGCGATTTGCTCTTCATAAGTGCTATGATAAAACCCTTAGAACTCAAAAAAAAAATCTTAGTCTCTTCTGTTTGTACAGTACCAAACGCAAGGAACACTCGTAGGTCTACTGCATTAGGAGAAACCCCTCTTATTTGGTATTGTGCCAGATGCCCAGAACCATCCAATCCCGCTGTGGTTTCAGTCTCTGTTGGGTGTGGCTGTGGCACGCAGAGAGGAAGTGTGCATTGTTGTGTACCCCAGTGTCACTTTTTAGTACAATTTGCTGCATACACAGTTCAACAGCTGCTTCTTCCTCTTTGCAGAATTTTCCCAACAGTTTCAAGGGGACTGGTGGTCTGGAGGGAATCCAAGTTTTGAAAAATGGGGGTAAGGTGGGTTTTTTTTTTTTTTTTTTTGAAGTTCCAAAGTCTTTTTGCTGAAATCAGCAACATTCAAAACATAAAAGACAAACAAGAAAACAAAAAAATTAGACAAACCAGCTCCGGTGGACATCGACTGTGGACGGAAGAAAGGTCTATGGTGTATATTGCACAATGTAACTGTCACTTGAAAGTAGAATTGAGGTTTTTTTCCTCCGAAAATTGGCCGACCATAAAGGCCGCTGGGCTTCATAACAAATCTGTCATTAGAAAATTCAACAAAGCACCAGAAAGCAACTGGGTTCCGATTTTAAAGGTGACCAGAAGGATCCGGGCTCACAGAGGTCAATGATTAGGTGCCACCGGACATACATATTCATAAGGAAACGGACAAACGCAGCAAGGCTGACAAATAATCTTCTCTCAGCTTATTCCTTGTGATGGGTGTCAAAACTTTTGCTTGGATTTAGGCCTACCAAAAAAACAAAACAAAAACAACAAAAAAACAACTGTGTCAATCCCTTTAAGACAAATTAAAATAATACGTAGATGATTGGTAGTGCCAGTCACGTGGCGTGGCCAGGCCTTCTTACTGCCCGGCGACAAAGTCAGTCACCAGTTGTGTCCTGTACCGCTCGCTGGCTCAGAGGTGAAACTGTGCAAGATTTCAGCTTTTTCTTCAGTTACAAAACAAAAAAAAAGAACAAAAAACAAAGACGGCTTGGGAAGGACCTGGGCCAGAGAGCACTTAAGGCTAATATTAGTGCTGAGAAACAAACATTAACATAACTAGTAAAGGTCTTTGAACAACATCATTGGCCATGGATATGCTGGGAATGGTTGTTGTAAGTCTTATTTTGGGATGATTTTTTTTTTATTTGTTTTTAGGAGGGAAAAGGAAAGTCTCAGATGGCAGCTTTGATTGCTTCTCCTAAAAAGAAATCCTCCCACAGAATGCCATGAATACTTATGGAAAAACTAATAAAACAGTTAAAAGGTTTCTTTGTGTTGCGTCTCACTTCAGTTTTTTTTTTTTTTAATATAATGCATTTTAAAAAATACCAAGAGGACAAAAAGGGCTGTTTTCCCTCAAAAACAAAAAACGGCAAACCAAATGAGAAAGGGACCAAAGTAAAACAAAAGGACTGGGGTCTGCAGTCTGTGGTAATGACCCCAACCTTCTGATTTACAATTCACAGTTCAAACAGTTCAAATTGATACTGATTATCACCACATGATTTGCTTGGGTTTTGCTCCTGTTCACATTGATTTTTTTTTTTCTTTTCTTACTCCACCCCACCCTCCACCAATGGCTTACATGACATGGTGGCGGTGAGTTGGTTGGTTGGTTAGTGTGTTGTGGCATCATCCTACATGGACTCCCCACTCAGCAGATCTCCAGGCAGCAGGGTGTTAATAGGGGTGGGGCTCCCAATCACGCGTGCGTCCTCTCCACTGGGCGGACCCCACAGGCTGGAGTACTGAGGCACACCGCCCCACAGCAGGTCGCCTCCGCTGGCCTTGCCTCCGCCGGTGCTGCTGCTCCACTGGCCAATTGAGTGGGACTGCGCTGCCCCGCCCATTCGGTTTTGATTGGTTCCCGGGTTGGCCTGCCAGCTCGTGGTGTTTGCCCCCAGCGACTGGCCTTGTGCAAAAAAGCGGTTCACTTCCTCCTCGCCAGCAAACTCCGCCAGGATTGTGGTATTTCCGAGCACGCACCTTAACACACAGAAGAAGAAGAAAAAAAAATATGAATGGTTTTTACGATCAGGAGCAAACCAGATATGACAGATGATTGCTTTTAATGTTATTCAATTGTTTTTGTGCTTAATGCCAACATTACACTGTAACCACATTTAATGCTGCTGATAATGAAAAGTGGGTCACAAGTCTTGTATTTTGTTTCCATGGCAACAAGCTATTAGCTAAACCGAATCAGGGAACTCTCATGAGACTCACAGAAATAACAACGCGAGCGTGCAGCCTAAACACGCGTCTCCACACTGCTCTTTTCCCATGATGAACTAATTATCACAACAATCTCTGTAATTTTGCAATACATCTGACCACGGTGTGACTTCCCACCCCCATGTGACTGTCCCAGACACAAAAATAACATTGCTTGGAATTATTGAGAATGTTGAACTGTTCTATTCATGAGAAAAGATACTAAAGAAATCAGGAACACTGTGTTTTCCCCAAGCATTTGTCTTTTTTTTTTCCACCGTTATATTGGCTCAGCAAAAAGTGCCCTTTTCCCCCTGTTTTTAAGTCCAATTTTGCTGATATAAGAGACTTGTGCTAACGCTTACATGTGCAGGGACTTCTGGGCCTTGGCAGCCTCGTCCTTGGAGCTGTAGCGCACCACAGCATTCCCCTGGGTCAGGTTGAGATGGAATGTGATCAAGGGGCCGTGCTGCATACACAGGGTCCGCAGAGTTGAACCATCAATCTGAAGCAAAGAACAAGACATTAGCACACAAAAGTTGCAGTCACAACTATCTTACCATTTTATCTCGAACAGTCTACCTTCTGGTTTTATTCCTTTTTCTTTGTTTCTTTTGTATTTTCTCATTGCAACTATACAAAAGGTTACACCAGCAGAAATCTACAACTGCAGATTCAAATTTGAGCAGACTAAACTCGAATTCCTCATAATGGCCGAAGGTATCAGTGAAAAACTAGCAAAAGAAAAGGAAAGGAAAAGAAAAAAAAGAAAAGCATACGCACTTGTGGGGTGAGATTCCTCAGCACCAGCCAGCTGCTGGTTCTGTTGGAGCTGTCTGTACTCCATGTGGTTCCCTCTGTAACACGGATGCAGACAGAGTTAAAAAAAAAAATTAAAGAGTTTTCTTGGAATAATGGTTTGCAGAAATACTTTCATTACAAGTTATTTGACTCAATGTCAAAACTGAATCTTGGAAGAAGAAGAGGAAGCCTAGATGCCTTCTTTCTAAAGAAAGATAAAGTGAGTGTGTATCAAAGTGACAGTGCCCTTCTAACAGAAAGAGAAAAAGAGCTGTATTCAACATACAGCACCCTCTGATATTATGAGACTTTTTGCAGAGCCCTGAGACTCTGGGCCTTGAGGTCTAAGAGCTCAACAACTAAGGAAAACATGACACCAGTTGCTATCTATTCCACACACTAAATTTATTTCCTCTTTGCTGCATAAAGTATAGATCTGTCATGTCAAAACGAGGTCACACGAAAGCTGGTAAACCTCAAGATGTCAGTTTGGCAGGGTGTGTTCAGGCAACCTTTACAATACCAAGAGTTGGGTTGTGCAGAGTCGCAGCTGTGAACACCACACCTATGCATAGGCAACCATGTCTGTGGCTTGCGTGTAATACATCATAGAGATGTATTCGCCTGTATTCGTGGTCACGGCAATCTGCTCAAATGTCCTGATTTGTCCTCTGTAAATTACAGGCACTGTACACGGCTCAAGCTCAGCAATTTCAGAGAAATTGTTAGAAGCAACCTGATATTTATTTGTTCATGAAGTAAATAGCCAATATTGCAGTTATGATGATACACTGTTCTTTAAAAAAGCAGTTTAACCCACATGATGATCGTTAACTAAAGCTGAAATGAAAATTAAAACTAAAACTAGGCATTAAAAACCATTTTAGCCACCTGAAATAAATATAAATGAGATGTCAGAAAAAAAAGAAAATAAGAAAATTACTTGTAAAGTGTGTTATTAAAAAATAAAAAAGGAATAATGTCTTTACTTTATGTTACTATAATCAAATTTATAAACGCAACCAGTCTGAGCAGGCTTTGGTGAATCTGGTTATTGAGACTGTCTACATGACTGTGTTTGTATAGCTTGAAAAGAAACATCATATCGTTATAAACTTTCTAAATCACACAATCTGACTCTTCCTCATGTAGTAAAAACAAAACTAAAACTAACACTGGATAAAAACTAAACTAAAACTAGACACAATAGATACTGAAATGAGAAATCTCACTCAGGAAACTCATTGAAACTAAAGTCAATTCAAAACAGAACGACACAAAATAAAAACAAGAACTGAAGAAAAATGTAAAGTGGGGTAATCACACACCTGAAGTGCCTGAATCACACACTAAACTGTCAATACTCGTGTTTTTTTCCCTCTTTTTCCAATAGTATGCTTATTTTCAATGAAAACTCATAAGTGATGACGTATCAGATAGTTTCAAATCACTATTTCTGATAAAAAGAAATTGAGTGCTGACCAGAGGAGTATGAGCCACTCCAGCCTTGAGACAGACCCAGTGAATTGCCTCCCCAGGTGGAGGAGGGCTTGGTGTTAGTGAGGCCTGGCGGAGGCCGTGATGGGGCTGTGGTGCTGCGTGGCCCCTGTGGGACTTTCCAAAGCTCGTGGGACAAAGAAGCTTGGCTCTGAGAGATGGGCCCTGGGGACCAAGTGGATTTCATGTCAGACAGTTTACCTGTACATGGAGAGCAGAAACAGAGAAAGAGAAAGAGGAGACTGTTAAAAAATGTTCTTTTAATGTATTTATTTTTTTATATGTAATATGACCGTTCAACTGGATCATCTGGAACTTCTTTATAGTAGCTTCAAAATGTGGAAATGAACAGCAAAACAAGCCACAAACCCACCTGTCTTCAATTACACCATACTTTGCAAAAATGTCTACAAATAAAAACTTCAAATATCTTTTTTTAAGATTTATGAACATGTAGGGTGTGTACCAATGTCACGACCAGTTAGGTGAGGCTTGTTTTTTTTTGTGGGTTTGGTCAAAGAGTTTTGGTAAAGGATGTTTAAGGCGCTGAAGGAACAGGTTTTTAGGTGTGACTGAGGTAAGGACATGTATAAATAAAGTTCAGAGGTTAAGTAAGGTTGAAGATAAGGAGAATCTTTTCTCCATTTGGGCAAGGAAAGGTCAGCATGTCCACACATGAGTGGGAATACGTGGGATGTGTACCTGAGGCATCTCCATCACAGGACGACAGACTGAAAGATCTAGAGTAGCCACTGACGGGCCAGTCGCTGCTGATTGGAGGCAAAGTGCAGTTCTGAAGTGGAGAAGCTGTGGCTATATGGTTGTAGAGAACAGTGTGGTGAGCAGACACAAACCCCCAAAAAGGGTAATTTCATATATGCTGTGCAGCATGATGGTGGGGGTCTGTGGTGAAGCAGATATGGCAGCATGGATACGCTTGTGGAAGTGGTTACTAACGTATATTCATCTAACTTTACAAAGCGCGGCTTTTCTGTGGGGCTATCGGTCGTACTGATATTTGGGCCCTTGTCTGTTGTCATACCTCCATTCCTGTCTCGCAGCAGGTAACGGTTGACGTCGTGGATGTTGGTGTTGATGGTGGGACCGCTGGGGACGCTGCCAGGGGTCATATTGGGGTCATTCTCAGGGTCGATGTTCTGAAGGCCTTTCCATGGCACCCCTGGGCAGAACTCTAAAATACAAAACACACACACACAATAAAGGACTGCTAAAACTTGAAGGTTAGATGTAAACAAAGGTGTGAAGCGAGGTGTTATGCTGAATTATACTTGGTGCACTGCAACTGCTGCAACTGGGGTGCGTGAGATGAATTTCAAGAGGGCTTGCAGATAGAGGTCCACTCTGGACAGGCTAAGTTTAGCAGTAATACTGTTTAGCCTACTTTATATAAGTGCTGCCATGTAAATGTGTAAAATGGTATTATGGTGAACCAACCTGATCTAATGCTATGCTTCGTATTTAAATCTTCCTCTGAATTTTGTAGGCTGAATAGCTGCTTCTTTAGCAGCAGCCTTAATTGATGCAATTAAGCAATTACGACATAAGAAAAGTACTGTTTGTATTTTATTAGTTGTATTTTTCATGCAATTTAAAGAAAAACACCTGTCTGTTCTACACCTTTATACCTCTGCATCTCATTCTCACCTGGGGGCCAGTTAATGTTGGTCCCATTGGAGATCTTTTCACTGGGACTCTTGCCCTGGCCCCAGTCAGGGGGCACGAGGGGGCTGGTGGGAGACTCAGAGCTGGAGATTAGATTGTAAGGGCTGTATGAGTCCTCCAGCTGAGGAGGCTTCCCAGGAGGGACCAGGGTAGAGGCAGCAGATATGGCACCTAAAACACACAAGGAAAAAGTAAGAAAGTGAACCTAGTCCAACTTAGTAGGAAAATATACACATTTTTGCTATTATAAATGTATAAAAGTATTACTATTATAAATGCACATTTAACACCTCCCTAAAATGGTGTCTACATTAAGTCTATTTTTAAGTCTACTGATAATCCTAGTGAGCTTCAGTAGACATAAGATTAAGATCTTCAATAAACATTTCCATAGTGGGAGAAAAAAGATGAAACTATGAGCTAAGAATAACTGTTTGTAGTCCACAGATTGTTATCTACGTATAAGCTGGAAAACGTGTATGAAATGCAGAACCTGACGAAATCTTAAATGCTAAAATGAAAGTAATGCAGTAGTTGACAAGTCTGCGTCAGTTAACTAGTTTCTCAAAACAATACAGAAATTGTTTTTATGGAAAGTAACTGACATCATTACTGAGTGCTTTGTGTACTTCAGTGGTTTCAAACTGACACAAATATAAGACTGCATTTGTCTTCTCGAAAATCACAGAAATGTCACAATTATATTCAAGGATGTGACTGCAACACCTGTCATTGTTATTGGGTGGAATTATGACACCTCAGACTCAGGGATTCTTAATGAGCTTGCAAACAGAACGTGCGAAAAAAAACAAACGCACAGTCGAAAGTCTTGCATGATACAAGTGGCAAAAAGCTACTGTCAGTTGTTGAGTTACTCATTGGGAAACAAGTCAACGAGTCCTAAGTGTGTTAGGAAGTGTGGCGTTTGCAATAGTGCCTTATAATCACTCCTCAACAAATGAAGCATGTCTGCACAAAAATCTCAAGATTATTTTTAAAAAGGTGTTGGGAAGTATTTACGCAAAAAAACAACTTAACAGGTGTCAGGCTGGTTTCATCTAACAATTTTCTCAAAGCCTCTGCATTATGTGAGCATGCTTGTCTGTGTTATTGTGCAAAGTACCGTGCTTATTGAGGTTGTTCTCCAGATTTGAAGAGTTGCCAGAGAGGTTGTCCATGGAGTTGGAGTGTGTCCACTGGGACAGGCGGGATTGGGGCTGAGGGGGCTCCTTAAGGGACAGACCCCCAACCTCCATGCAGTTTACATTCATGTTTGGATTCAGTCCAGCTGAACACAAAACACAGGAATCTTTTGTTAATATTTGCACAAATAAAAACAAATATTTCAAACACACAACACAGCGATACACTGTTTGATACATGGTGTTGCACATACAAATATAAGACACAAGATGCAAGCATTTTACTTCACATGACACAAAATCAGGTGCTACACAGGCTGCAATACACAATGAGGGTTCTTCTTTTATTTCTGTGCATGGGAAAATTTGAGTTTTAAACAAAGTGACCATAGTGTTGTTCTTTCAGCCCTGTGTTGTTGCTAGAGCAGACTCACAGAGAGGGTAGGTGCTGTAGGCGCTGGGCGACGACGGCGGCTCTTTGGTGTGCAGTGTATCGGCAAGGCTCGGAGCCTGGTGAGTGCCTGTGAAGGGGTCCAGGGTTGATTTGCCAGAGCCGGGGCCTCCGGCGGGGCCACCGGGGGGATGCAGACCAGTGGAGGAGGAGGAAGAAGAAGAGGAATGAGAGGGAAGTTGTTGCTGCTTCATCAGCAGCGCTTGGTACAGCTGACGCTGGTGCTGCTGGATCTGCTGCTGCATGTTGGTGATTGTACGTGCAACCTGGGAGAGAAAAGGAGGACTGTCATAATTATGTATTTCAAAAGAAAGCACTGGGAAATATAGGCCAGGAGAGCAACAACATTAATCAAATTATGGATGGAAATAATGAAACAAAAGAAAAACAAAGAGGAAGTCGAGACAGTGGAGAATAGAAAGGAAAAGCAAGAGGAAATAAAACGTTTGAAAATGTGTTATAGATAAAGATACGCAAGCAAAAACAAAGTAAAAGAACACGCAGGGGTGGTTTGCAAAGATAAGCTTAAACAGAAAATGTTAGATAGATAAGATTTACCTATATCTTATGTATCTTGTGGGTTATTTCTAACAAAACATAATTTTTTTACAAAAAGGAGAACAAACTCTATCGCCTTTTGCAAAATGGAGAAGTTGTCAGATAATGGGAAGTAACAAGTTCCTGTGTTATCTAAACGTTTCAGCAACTCCTGTTGTTACAAAGCATATTCTTTTCGCTGTTGTAATGATGTGACAAAAAATAAGTGGAAAAAAAAAAAAGGAATAAATGAAGTTGGGTCACAGTACGATGACTCATGGCCCACATGTAGTCACACACATGAAATTTTAAAAGACCTTCACGGTCATACTTTATTTGTAATGACACATTTATTGACTCACTTGCTGCTCTTGTTGTCTAATAGGGCCGGAAACATTGCGCTGCGCCTGCATCATCTGGTGCTGGATTTGTAAACGCTGGTACGCCTGAATCGATGAAGACAAATAAAGAAATACGTTGATGTAAACAATAAAAAAATCTACACTCACTTTCTCATGCATTGTTAGATATCGCCATTTTTAAAAATGACATATTCATAGGAAGTTAAATCAAGTAAAATCAAAAATGAAAATAAAGGTCCAGAAGACATATTCTCTCGCTCAAGCACCTCACCATTTGCAGTTGCTGAAGTTGGTACAACAGGGTCATTTGTTGAGGGTTTATTGGTGAAGTTAAAAGTGCAGGGTTCAGACCAATGTTTTTTGCTGCAAACTGCAAGAGCTGTGCTTGGACCTGAAGCGAATAGAAAAAATGGAGGTGGAACAACAGAGAGATGACAAGTTAGTCACTGCACATCACAATAACTGTACATAAAAGCACCTTCTGGCAAGATGAAACTAGCCATCGCTGCATTTGTGCAGGATAGAAAAGAAGGGAGGTGAAAGGTCTGGGAGGCAATCTTGCAATTTAAAGAGTTATGGCCACAGTATGTCAACCACATCACTGAAACTGCACATGAGTTTTTAAGTGTGATTAAAAAAAAAAAAAAGAAGGTAAAAAGCAATCTATGCTGTGGAGATTTTAAGAGGAGAAATACAACATATTCAACAGAATTAAAACGAGTTAAAAAGCCCAAAATATACAAAATATACACGTGGGGGAAGAAAAAAATCATGTTCCTCAGCCATATCACAAAATCTTCAAGCTTTAAGCGATTGTTTATATGTGTTAGGACTTGACATAGTAGCACATAATAAATCTAATATGCATTATCATGTGTTTGACTACCTGAGGGGAGAGAAACGGAGGCACTTGAGCACGTAGACTAGGCTGGGAGGAGCTGAGAGGTGGCACTGGTGGCTGAGGAGGCTGCTGCTGCATGGCCCGGGTTTGTGCTGCTCCATTACTGCCAAACATTCCACTGGGTATCTGTATGCAGGAATCACAATGGTACAATTAAATATTCAAGAGTACTGCCATGTAATGGCAGTACAAACAAAAAAATGTCAAAACAAAAATACATAAATAAAAAAAAATCTGAAATGAAGAAAAAAAAGAGAAAAGGTGAAGTGTCTGCAATATTGCAAAATTTGATTAGGTCTAGATCACATGTTTTACAGCAGAGCATATACTGAGGGTAAAAGGTGAGAGTAACTGTTTGTTTGATAATAAAAATGTCAGAAATTGCATTTTTTAAATTGATGAAAAACAATCAGCCTGTAAAAGCCACTTGTTCAAATTTCTAACCCCATACTGCTGAAGAGGGCTTTCCTTTCAGTTTGAAAAAAGGCTGCTTGCAGTGCCTTTGTTTGGACTTCAAGGACATCCTGTAGTTTTTCTGGGCCATGCCTGCCTCTAGGGGTGATATTTGATAGAGCATAACTATCTGGTTTCAATGGGCTCTTCAGGCAAGGTTATACACAAAAGTGAGCAACAGAAAAAGGGAGATGTGGGAGAGCATGTGAATAGAGAGATGTGTACAAAACAATTTAACACATCTTTTGTTGCTGCTACTGCAATCTGTATATGGAAATCCCACAGAGAGCACTGCAAATTAGTGGTTGTGCATCTGCACTGTGATGAACACAGTGATACTGTCTGTATCAGCTGTCCAAGTGTACAAAGCCCCCCCCCCCATACTTGTAGTATTTTATACTACATATATATGTAAAAAAAAAAAAAGAAAGAAAAGAAAACCTGCTTTACCTGTCTGTTCAAGTTTTGCATGGCCAGCCCCGGGTTGCCCTGTCCCAGACCCTGCCCAGGAAGGCTACTATTGGCCAGGGGGAGCTTCAGGCTGGGGGAAGGCAAAAACGGTGATGGGGGGGTGTCATCTGACAGGACACCATCCTAGACCAGAGGAAAATAAACAGTTAATGAGGGGAATAAAGGCAGATGAGCGCAACATCAAACAATACACGTTGACAATGTTAATTATATGTGTGTAAAAACATTTCTTGTACTAACCAAGACGTAATCTAATCTAAAATCCTTTCAATGTGATGTGTTAACATATCATAAAAGCTACAATCTAAGCATATAATTAGAGAAAAGCCTAAAGTTACAGTAAGGGCTTAAACCTTTCCTTTTGCTAAAGCATATAGTTAGGGCTGGATCACATGACCCTGAATCCTCCCTTAGTTATGCTGCAATAGGTGTAGGCTGCTTGGAGAGTCCCATGATGCATTGAGTGTTTTTTCTTCAGTCACCTTTCTCACTCACTATGTGTTAATAGACCTCTCTGCACTGAATCATACTTGTTATTCATCTCTGGCTCTCTTCCACAGCATGTCTTTATCCTGTCTTCCTTCTCTCACCCTAATCGGTCGCAGCAGATGGCCGCCCTTCCCTGAGCCTGGTTGTGCCGGAGGTTTCTACCGGTTAAAAGGGAGTCTTTCCTTCCCACTGTCACCAAAGTGCTTGCTCATAGGGAGTCATATGGTTTTCTCTGTACATATTATTGTAGGGTCTACCTTACAATATAAAGCGCCTTTAGGCGACTGTTGTTATGATTTGGTGCTGTATAAATAAAACTGAATTGAATTGAATACCACCATGCATTTATACCCGACGTACCTTGTCGAGGAAGGCGTTGCGCTCGGAGGGGTCTTTGGAGAGTGCGGAAGGCCGACACACCAAAGGCTTGTTCATGCCATTGCTGTAATCAGACATGCCCATGCCCCGCTTGTCCAGGTCTGTTTTCTTCTCTAAAAGAGCAGCTATAGAAGGAGAAGAGGTGATTGCAGAGGTTGTGAAATCTAGCCAAATAAATATATTGTGTCACTATAAAAGTTTTATTTAATCTCATTAGTGGTAAAAATATATATTTTAAAGAAAAAGGTCCCTCAGTATTCAACCAAATGGAACTGAAGAGAATGAACTGATTGATTCAAATAAAAACAAACATCTCAGAACTGCAAGCGTAAAGACAAGGTCGACACACGAAAATGCTGGTGTACTTACTCATAGCCTGGTCAAGGTTCATATTGTTGCTCTTCAATGCCTCCTCAGCAGGGTCTCTCTGTGACACATAAGTACAAAAAACTTGTAATTAGCATAACCAGACTGGGATTAATTTGCCAGAAGAGCTGATATTTCATCACTTGATAGTTTTTCCACCCTGAAAAGGTTTCATTTATAATGCCCCGAAATTTTTGTTTAAGGTCACAATAACCTTTGACCATTGAAATCCAATTAGTTCATTCCACAGCGCTAGTGCATGCTTGTGCTAAATCGTAAGAAATTTCTTTCTGTGTTGAATAAATATCAAATTCCTGGTTAGAGGTCATAGTGACCTTCATCTCTGAGTATCACTTTCAGAACTGATAACCTAAATAAATGATGCCTCGCAGCTAAATCTGCCACCAGCGCAGAGGCATTAAAGCAAAAATTCCAGAAGAAAGCTTGCGAGTGCTTTGAGTCTGCATTGACAGTTAATTCTAAATATGCAGGGTTCATACCGGAAAGCCCATGTCAGTAAGTTGTTTGATGAGACGGTTCATAATCCAGGCCTCATCTGGCTTGTTGCCCATCTTCCCCTGAAAACAAAGAAGCAAAAATATTATGAATTCAACATTACATGATGTTTCCAAGGTCATAAATGCCACTGTGACAGGCGAGTTCACTGACCTTGTTTGGGCACTTCTTGGGTCCATTGCTCCAGGAGTTACAAGAAGAGCTGCTCTCCTGGGGGGTTGGGCTGTTCCATACATCCCCATCCTCAGTGTCCCATTGGCTGGTAGACATGCCCATCTCTTCCCCTCCATTTCCCCAGCCATCTTGCATAGGTTTGGGGCCTGAAAGAAAGAAAGGGATGGGAAATATAGGATTAAGTTGTGAGGAATAAAAGAAAAAAACTCTTCAGTGCATTACTCGATGCTATGTGTCTTCTATATTCACAATACTATTTCAGAAGCTGAGCAGCAGGTAACTTTAAACACAGCCACTTGGTGCCACTGTTGCTACATGCCAGTCTGCACTTTCTCCCTACACCTCCCCTCTATCGTTTCCAACATTTAAAACCAACAGCACAAATAACCAAGCTCCACTGAGGCGTGGAATTGCTTTAATCCAAGCAACACTCCAGCAGCACTAACAAAAACTTTCAAAACTGGCACAAACGGTACAGTTCTGTAGAAACTTCCCGTTTGTGTTCCCTAACTGAAGTGTGCTGTGCAAACATATTATGGAGCTACTGCCATAAACAAAATAGTGAACCCAAAGCAAACCAGTGCCTAAGTTGACAATCGTGTTCACAGGTTAAAGCAGAAAAACAGTAATTTTGTAAGTCTGAACTAATTGATGGCACTGAATATAACACTGGTGGTATCAGTTAATCAACTCCTATTATTAACATCCAGCATTAACAATAAATTCTGAGTGTTACCTGGCTTGCAAGGTGCAGAACCTGGGGGTCCACTTCCCCTGCCATAGGGGCCGGAGGACTCATGGCCACCGTCTCCCCATCCTCCTACCCCACCTGGGGGCTTGCCCCAGGCTGAGGTACCATTGTCCACAGCTGATGTTGGAGCTGCTGGCTCTCCCCAAGCAGGTTCTGACTTGGGCTGAACACTTGGAATCTCCCCCCAGCCTGGAAGAAAGGGCAACTAATTAGTTAAAAGAATGAAATCAGCTTCTTTACAGCAGAAATTTTCATCAATTTTAAAACATCATTAGTTAATCCTCTTATGTGCTTCACTGAAAACAAATGGAATAATACCACTGTTCCCATCAAGGCCAGCATCACATAGTCTCTTTAGACCTTCATGCTAAGCTTTAGTGACATATCAATAAGTGATAGTAACCTTTTCTATTGTATGCTGTTTTTTTTATAATTATATGCCTTTCACCACCCCAGCCTGCCAAGCTGTGTCTATGAATGTGTAGGCGAATGAGACAAGACAAAGCAAAGCAAAGCAGCAGCAGATTAGGAAAGGCCCAAGTTAATGACATCAGCAGAAATGGGCAGCTATTTGGCTTAAATGTGTTTTGGAAGTGTTCATGATGCTCCTTAGTCACTGCAGCACAAATTGCAGACAGCAGATGGCAGTGGTCTCATTCACAATTAAAACTGTTTGCCATTAAAGCTTTGGAAAATATCTATGCTTCACATGGCTTTTGTTTTTCAAAGACTTACTAGATCTTGTGAAAGTGCAAACTTAAATCTACTATTAAATGCTGATGACAACTGTGAAGATTTTAACTTCTCTGAGAGCAAAAACAGTCACTTTGTAAATTCTTCAAAGAAATTATTTTTAAAAGGAAGGACCATAGTTCCCAAGCTTGTTATAATTTTCTCATTTTATGGAAACAGGTGAAAACAAAATCTCTTTGTCTGTCTCCCTGGCTTGTTAACAGACACAAAAATCAGTATCCCTTGAATAAAACACACATATGCTGTTAGAAAGAAATACCCACTTTTGTAAAAGTCAGTTTGAAATTTTTTAACATTTCATTCAATATAGTATGGTGGGAGACTACAAGATCAGAAACCAAATTTTAATTCATTTTAGAATTTCAACTACTACTTGAATGTTAAGCAAAATAAGATTTTAGGTCATTAATATCTTTAAGTCTTTTAAATACCTGGGTTGGAGAGGGTGGGTCTGCCTTGGGGCCCCACACTTGGATGTGATGCAGCATTGTTGGGAGACCCATTGTTGTTTCCATGGTGTTGCAGGTGAGTTGGGGGCTGGCCATGATGAGTATGGTGGTGCATATGGTGAGGGTGAGAGTGATGGTGATTGTTGTTGCCAGGTCCAACGGAGTGATTGTTGTTGTTATTGTTGGGAATAATCATTCCACCATTCTTACTTGGAGGGGGGCCGCTGTTGCCTGGGTTACTACTGGGATTGTTACGATCCCACATGTTGACTGTCTTGTTGTAGGCACTGGGATCCCCCCAGGTAGATGTTCCATCGTCAATCTCCATCTTCCTACGAATGGAGGGAGGAGAGGGCTCTTCCCAGCCAGTAGGCTCCATACCTTGGTCCTGTTTGCTGACATTACCCCAGCTAGAGTTGTTCTGCTTCACAGAACTGGGACCTCCCCAAGAACCAATACTTCCACCTCCTCCACTACCAGTGCTGCTGCTGCTGCTTTCTTGTGGCTTGGAGGAGCCCCAGCCACCCTGCACTGGTCCATTGGCACGTGAGGTCTCCCCCCAGCTGCTATTACTCACAGCAGGAGTTTTGCCCCAGCCTCCTCCATTTGCTCCTCGAGGACTTTCCTTCCATCCACCATTTCCTCCGTTACTTCCTTCTCCTTCCCACATGCTGCTAGAGGAACCATTATTCTTGATGTCTGGCTCTCCCCATTCCCCTGTGGTGGAGCCATTAGAACCACCATTATTGTTGCCCCACTTATGGGCATTTTTGGGGCCTTCTCCCCAGCTAGTAGGCTGGCTTTTCACTGGGCCATTGTCCCAGCTGGATGACTTGTCCTCTGATCCCCAGGATGAGGTACCCCCATTCTTGGGACCACTGGAAGGCAAAGGATCTCCCCAGCCACTAGTAGTGCCATTTGGAGCTTTACTGAGTGACTGTGGGGGGTCACCCCATCCTGATCCTGTCTGGACTGGCTGAGATGCTGGAGCTCCCCACCCAGAAGATGAAGATCCTTCACTGTCACTTTTCCCTCCAGATCCAGGCCTCTGAGCAATGGTAGGAGTTATGGTGCCATTGGTAGATGAGGGTCCGCCATTGGAGCTGGAGGCTCCTATGGTGTCTGAGCTGCTACTGCTCTTTCCATCATCAGAGTTTGCTTCTTCCATCTCCCATACAGTGTTCTGCCGGACAGGGGTCTGTCCCCAACCTGTGTTACTCAGGACTCTAGGGTCAAGGTCTTGCCGTGGTAGCAAAGGGGCAAATTCCATGCTGGAGGATCTGTCTCTACGCTGGGATCGACCTTCACTGCTGTCTCCGCTGTCCTCACTTGCTGGAGCTGTTCCAAGCTGCTGGCCCCAAGAGCTCAGTTGCTGGTCTTGGCCTGAGCCAGAACTACCAGCATCTATGTTGTCCCAACCTTTAGTTGCTTCTCCACCGCCAGAGGACTTTCCCCAGTCACCCCAGCCACCACTTCCACTACTCCCACCACCACTGCCTTGGCGACCCCAAGCAGAGAGGCCTCCAGATGTTGTTGAGTCCCAGCTGGAGTCCTTGGGGGAGTCAGCTGCCTTGGTTTCTCCACTACCCCATACAGAGCTGCCGGTTGTATCCCCATTGAGCTGGGATGACTCAGTGGGTGACTGGCCTCCCCAACCAGTTAAACCGTGGATAGGGCTCATAGGCTCCTGAGCTGGTTGTTGTTTAGTGTGGTTTGGTCCATCAGTGTTAAGGTTAACAGGCTCTATATTGAAGGACAAGTTTGTGTTGGTTGAAGGGTGCTGTTGCTCATTTTCTGTAGCACTCATCATGCCAACCCAACTTCCCCCACCGTTATCAGCACCTCCCATGTTCCCATTTCCTAAATTTCCATTGCCATTTATGCCTGGTGGAAGGGATGAAGAGCTGGACACCCCACTGGTACCACCTCCAACACTCTCATGGCCCAGAACAGGCCAGGCTGAAGGGTTGGCATTTGGGTTGAGATTCAAGTTAAAATTGGAAGAGCCCCAGTTATTGGGTGCTCCAACTCTGCCACTATTCATACCATCTTGTTTACCATCTGAAACCCAGCCTCTATTACCTACTAATGCGTTGGTTGATCCAGGTCCTGTCATCATGTTATTGTTAGCTTTGAGAGAGGGGTAGTGGGCCTGCTGGCCTGCTGCGCCTGTGGCCATACTCACAAAACTACTCCTACTGGTAGTAGTGACAGCACTGGTGTCTAGGTTAGAGCTGGTGGAGCCCGAGGGGCATTCTGGTGTTACAGGGTTGCTGGGGTCACTACTGCGGCTGATGGAGGGCCAAGCTTCTGTATCACTCTTGTCAATAATCACTTTGTCCCAGCTGTTGGCACTTGATGGGCTGTCAACTGGTACAGAGGCTCCCCAATAAGAGATCTCATACTGGGCACCAGGGCCACACTGGAGGGATATGTCTAAAGAGAAAACAAGTGGGGGGGGGGTAAGAGATTAAACAAAGGAGACAGATAGAGATGAGTGAAAGTAGAGGGAGGACAAGGAGGAGGGGAGAAAGAAAAAAAATCATAAGTTTAGAGTAAGGAAAATCATGTAATGCATGTTCACAACCAGGCTACAGTTAGCTTCCTGAACCAATTTTATCTTCTTGGTTAGTTAGCGCTAGCTATCAGACTTGGCAGGATGAGATGGTCAGACTTGCATGTTTCAGGATTTAAAACATAATCAGAATGCACAGCCAAGCGTGCTTCTTGTCATATCAGCTTCAGGATATCCATATATCCTTGCTCTGGTGCAGTCAGCCAAACAGAAACACTGAGATGGAGCCTTTGCTTTCTTTTTACATCGTTCTTTCCTTCTCTTTTTCTCCCCAGTTTTTACTTAACTTCCATTTCCACTTCTTAAACAGAGGTTTACTGATTTACTCCCTTTTCACTCTCTAAAGTCATTTATTTATTATTATCCCACCTCTCACCTATGTCCTATTATACTCATGTCTCCCTCCTCCATTTTTTCCCCCCACCACTTTCTTCACCCTGTCCCTCTCTCCCTTCTGCACTCCTCCAACACCCGGCAGCGAGAGACCCATCCGTCTCCATCGTGGCTTCACTGGCTGGGACTGTGAAGGGAAGCCCAAGTGGAACGCCGTTCATTTATTGGAATGAAACCAGGACCGAGTCTCATCCATCACTCCTTACGCTTTACTGGGCCTACTCCTCCTTCAACTGCACTGCAATAAGAAACCACATAACAGTTCCCCCAAGCTTGTGTGAATAAGTGTGTGTCTATTTGCTTCTCACTACCTGCATATACATAATAGTGCACATGCGATTCTGTATATCTAGGAATTATCTGTATGACAAAACTGAAAATGAGGGATTGTCCATAGATTTTGTCCTTCTACTTATGATCTATGATCTTCAAGTCCCTCACCAAGCTACCAAATCGCAGCTTTTTACAACTCTGATCAAGATGCAATCACGCACAAGCAGATTCGTTAGGCACAAAAGCAGCCACCATCAAATGGTGAACTAATAATAGACTGGGTTGATGCTGCAAAGGGGTAATCAATCTGTGGGAGGCAGCTAATCAATAATCTTATTAATGTTAGTGGGTGAGAGCAGAGAGGTTATTGATCCAGCATCCAAACACTCTAACCAATAGGGTAGCTTCAGGCAAATGGCAGAAAAGCTAATGAGAAGTAGGAGCTACAAATATCACCATTGCGCAGACCAACTAACCTTATTAATAATTGATAATAATAAACATTTGCACATGAAAACTAGACATCTGAGTTTGTTTTTTCAAAAGTCCACACTAAATGTAATGTGTTTCTAAAGTAAAACTGTATAGCTTAAGATAGAACCTTAAGACCGAAAAAGAAGATCCTATCAAATTGTTGCCATACTAACAAGACGTTACACAGCACAAGATATAGAAGGAAAAGTCCATCTATTTGAGGTGTGAAGACAAAGACACATATTCTGACTTTTAGATACTTTGAACGTGCCACAGAGGCTGTGAATTACATTTTCACTTATCTCCACTCCCCAGGCAGCCTTATCGTTCAGGGTCATCAGACTGATGACACACACATGCACACCAACATTAATCTACAGTCAGTTTGCAATCTGCTGAAAACAGAAATAACTAATGAAAGATCACAACAAAAGTAATCCCCATATTTGCTGTAAGTGTACTTTTCTTTTTAAGTTCAATTAAAAGATGCTGGAAAAAAAGCCATGTGTGCCTATCATCAGAAAGTTTTTAAATTACACTTGCCATGGGTTTTCTGACTTCTGACAACAGCTTGGTATTAGGGGTGGGCCGTATGAACGGTATACGGTAGAAACGATATAAATTTGGCCAACGGTAGAGATTTTGACTATACCGCTCTACCGCGATAGCGCATGTTGATGGTGTCATCAAGCTGCACCTATTTTGGTCGAAAGCATTGCAGTGGCTGCAAACAACATCATCTGCAAATTATGCCGGGCGACAGTAATAGCAAAGAGACAGAGCACTTTTGGAATATAGGGAAAGCCAAAAACTGTGGCTTTGATTCATTAATGCAACATCAGTCAGTTTCTCACCACCCAGCATATCTTCCTCCTTCATTCGCACAGTTTGAAAATAAAAGATTACTTGACTAATGTAAACTCTGCAAGGCAGTCCTCCTTTATCACACTCAACACCTTTGTCACAGAGGAAATGTACAAAGCTAATTTTGAACAAGCCCCCAAACCACACATATAAAAAAATATGAAAGAAAGGGTGAATCTCATGCACATGATAAAAGAAAGGAGGTCAGAGAGCGAGAGAATGGAAAATTACCTGAGGAGAAGTACAGCAGCCTTAGTCTTAAGAGTGCTTACACAGATCCACGCAAGAATAAGAAACAGCAGACATCATCTTAGTACATCTGCAACAGGTTAGTCAGTGAAGCAAAAAAAAAAAAAAAATCCTTTTGCAGAGGCAGCACATGTGGACATCTACCTCAACAAAACCGGACCATTATTAGCTCCACAAAAGGAGTGTTTACAACAGGATTACAGGGTTGCATTACACTGCAAAGGTTTTAATGCTGGTGCGTCTTTGCCAACATGTACGAGTGGACTAATGCAAAACAGCCTTCCTTTCTTTTCACCTTAATGTGCCTCCATTGTTCCCCTTTCAACTCCCTTTCCAGGCATTCCAGAAAAAGGTACTGCTGATTCTTGGCAAATCATTGATTTGCGGGAGGGGCGTGAAAGCAAGCTGAATATGAAAAACAAAGGCAAGGGGAGAATTATTTCCATCTACCATTTGCAATCATATGTCAGTAATGTGTTGCTTTCATTCTGGTTGCAATTAGGAGGGCAGCCTATGATTATTCCTTGTGAATGAAAAGGGTCAAAAATGAAAAGAAAAAAAAAAGTAGCATCTCTGTAGCTCTTCGTGTTTCAAACGGACAGAAAGACAGTCTTTTTGTATGAGTGTATATGGAGCCTAGCTTATTCTCACCTGCACTGAACTACATAAATGGTGGACATCAGTTTAATAATAAAAACATCCTAATGTAGGTACACTGACAGTGCTTACTACAAAACACGGACAAGCAGCATCAACACTGCAGTGGAGCTGTGTGATACCGGCCAGAGTTGAAGCACAAATAAGCAAGAGGTGAATTCCTGCTAATGACACTAGCTGCCATCATGGAAATGGGCAATAAGCCAAGAATTAAATGCCTTTCTTCCCCATTTGAATGAAATAAAGGGCTGGGTGACAGAAAGAAAGAAGAAGAGTGCGGTAGAGAGAGATGGAAGACAGTCTGGGGTGGGGGTGGGGAGAGGTCGGTACATACAGTGGCGAGGAAAAAGAAAGGGAGACAGCGAAAGAGAAAGCATGAACAGAATGAGAATAACTGTAGCGACAAAGTGATTCTTTTAGCTTGAGTGTGAGCAACAGAGGCAGCTCGGCTTCTCGGTTAAAACTATGGGATGACATAAACTTAGAATCAAAGGAGGAGGTAACATTTACTAGTCCTTTGTCACCATACTGACCCTCTCCATCTCTCTGTGAGGAGAACTTTACGCCCACTCACATCGAGGACGGCATGCACATGTTTTTTCCGGAAACATAGAGAAAAAGAAAAACAGAGGGGACGGTCTCCGTGGGGTTTAAAAAGCTCATCATTCATGTCTGTTTACCTCTGCTGAGAGAAGAGAGAAAATAGAAGAGCGAGACCATAGTGACTTCTCTGGTTTCCCTGAGAGAGGCTGCATTAATGAAGCCACTAGGGGGTTCTCTCACTTGTGCGTGCCAATGTGTGTGTCACAGCTTGAGCATATGGGCCAATCTATACCTCCATGGCTTCTTTGGGGCCAAGTGATCTTTTCATTTGATTTTAAAAAACATAGAAATAACTGAGATTTATTTTTTGATGATGTCAGAAGAGGTAAACAACATTTTTATAAGATTATATCTAAAGAATGTAAAAATGCGCAAGTGTTCTAAACGTGTTTTGTTTTTTTAAATAAAGCAACACCAACACCAAACAGTTTACTTAAGATGTGTTCAAAATCTAAGCTAATTTACCTAAAAATCAAAGGAAGCATTATGAAAGGGCCAAGTGTTTTAAACCGCACCCAGCAGAGTGCCTTCTGGCTACGCGTGCTGTCTGGGTGACCGGCAAACAGCTGTTGGGCTACAGTTCCCACAGTCTTAAGAGACCCCATTCCAGCACCTGCTACTTGGGAGTCTGTCTGGCTGCTGGATGCTCCGGACTACTTAAATGGTCCCCAGTCAGCTGGAGAGATGGGAATGGTGGGTGTGACAGGGGGATGGAAATGGGACAGGGGGTCTCTGTCTGGTGGGACAATTGAATGGGTTGGGAAAAGAGGTTGTGTGGGAGGGTGGTGTGTTGAGAGCAGACTGCATTTTAGACACTGGAGATGGGGTGCTTGGATAGCCTGTTGGAATCTCAAGCGTTACAGATTTACACAGTATTCATATAGATTCTACAATAATTAAACTTGACTTTCCAAGCCAAATGTGGAGTGATCAAAAATGTGTCAAAGAAATAAATTTAACATCTTTACAGTGTACTGCTACTAACTAAAACTACAGTGTGAGTACACTCCTCTTTAAAGTGTGAGGCAGATTGCAAGGGAGACGCATATCTGAGGGGACACAACTAGGTCAGACTAGAGTACTCTCTCTGCTGCACATTCATTATATCTATATACATGTGTTAGTGTTTGCATGTGTGCAACTACAAAAGTGAACCATCACATCACTGCCACCCTTAGGGCCTCAGTAACCTCACCAGAGGTCAGAAACACTGTCCTCGAAAACAAAATAGAAACACTGTCCTCGGAACAAAGTTCATCTGTAACTTGCAAAATGAAATGAAACTTTACCTCTATATTTGCAGACAATGTCTTTGAGATATAAGGATTTTGACTTTTAAAAAAAGGAAGAAAAAAAAAAAAGATGTATTCATGATCAGGAAAAACTTCATATTAAATCTATCACAGTCAAGTATTAACTTGACTCCAAACATACATTTGCTGGATTTACATTTTTAGGTGAGAAGTTTTTCAGAATTTTCTGCAGCAAAAGTCATGTTTGAAATGAAAGAAGCCACAGGCTTAAATAATTGCTCTGCATTGTAGACTTAACTTCACTGTCCAATCCCTAAATTATGTATCGCAGACGCACTGCAACAACTGGTTACTGGCTTCAGGCTATTGGCTGTGCAGATAGGAAAGAACATGTTGTGGACTGGATGCCCTCAGGACAAGAACATGAGTGGAAAAGGAGGTGAAAACCCAGCCAATGGCTACTTCTGCCACAGGCTGTTGTACAGAGAGACTCCAGGGGAAACCAGAGGTAGGTAAAGGCCAATTAGCACAACAAGTGCTGGACTAGGACGATAATACAGCATTACAACGTAACACACTCAGCCAGGGCATCCTAACGTGTCCAGAGCTCAAAGAAGAAACATATGCTTTCAAATCTGAAGGTTTTGACTTAATGTTTCTCTTAAGAGAGTTACGCCTGCAGCTAAATCTTTTCTTGGCCCACTGGGAAAGAAACACTGCAGTAAATAGCTGTGCATAGACAAAAAACATTATTAACAATGTAATAAAAAGAAATTTGTGCCGACAGATTGAATCTGTTGAATTTTTGCCACCAATTTAATATATTTACTGAATTTAAAAAATACAGTGATGCAGGTGCCTTGAATTTACTTCCTGTGAATTTTCTGAAAATTCTTTAGACAATATTAAAATGAATGCATTTTATATAGATTCTGTGTTTTATATAATGTCATAATATTGGAATTATTTTTGGATCTTCTTATTTTCTTTTTTTTAAATCAATTAGCTCTATTATTATATTTTTAAAAACAACACATTAAAAAAATAATTAAAAAAAAAACTAATAACACTATGCAGGATGCACATATTTGTGAAACATCATCAAATGGCTACATAGTGAAAAATAACATCCAAACATAGTAAATTGACTAAATAGACTGAAAAGCACAATTTGTGGCAAAGAGACTGTCACTGGGTGGCTGCATAGGCTTAAAGCCTTTGTTTGATGCTGTGACTGGTGGCACAGACTTGACTACAACAACAACAGCAGCAGCAGCAGAGCATAGAAAGACCAGCTGACTGTAATGCAGAGGACTGTAGCCTCCTGGCTAGCTAACCATACACCGCAGCAGCTGCAGATTTGTTTACTGAGTATCCGTGTTCGCACAGCAAATTTAGAGACAATAATGAAAAGCAGCACAGAGCAGCATGATCAAAAGCTAGAGTGGAAAAAAAAGAGACAGGAGAAGAAGCTCAACAAAGATGCAAGCAGATGCTCGCGCTAGATCCTGCTCAAACAATGTGTGGTGTTCTACAGAGGTAGCCTCACATCTGTGTCTTCAAAGCTACGGCGTGTTACGTTGGAGGATGAGAAGTACCCTCACTTTTGCATCTGTGTACATTAAACAGATGGTTAAGATTCCTTTAATAAACAGAATAAAAATAAAAACCTTTAAAAGGAATTCAAGGATATCTTCAGGAAGCTATAATCATGAGTGTCTGTATGAAAAATGCTCATGTCCAAAACCAGAGAAATATAGTTGTAATATTGATATAAATGACCATGATTTAACAACACATGACTTGCTTACAAATACACACAAACCACTGTATAATGAGCCCCTCAAGGCAGGTTCAACATTAGTGAACTTCAAGGCCAACAAAGAGTTTGTTAAAAGCCTACCGCTGGCTATAGAGGGCTTAGTGTTCTTGTGATTTTAAAAACAGGCTAAAACCACTTAACAAAGTTCTTTAAACACTAAAATATCCCAGATGGCCTTTGATTTAAAAAAAAAAAAAAAAAAAAAAAAAAGACATTGTCACCGTTATAAGTATCATTATTCACACTAATACATGTAGAAAACACAGACATGCTTTGAAAACATGCATCCAAGTACCAGAAACCTTTCAGAAAAGCCACAAAGGGAAATGGGGGGGAAAAAAGCAGCAATCAACTAAAAAAGTCTGAGGCCTGTTTTAATATGGTCAGTCTACCCATAAAATTTTAGGTGGCGAGTCTTGTCATTACATTTGCTGACAGAGAAAGTGCAATTATAATCACTGTTTTTATTGCCAGTGCTGCTTTTCTTATGTGTCTCTAAGAAGAAAAAATGATGCAAAGTTTGAAATGAAGTTACATCTACAAATGCAAACATCTCTCTCTCATTATCCATCCCAAGACGGATAATGGTTCCTGAATGCTTTAGGAGGGTTTTTGTATATCATGTATATGTATTATATTATTTAAACTCACTAAAGTGCACATCTAACAAGGACAAAAGTCACAACATCACCCTAAAGCAACCACTAAAATATATATATATATTTATGAAAAAGCCATTTGGCCGCAATGTTTTTTACTAGACTGACACAAACCTTGGTGGCGTTTGCTCGCAGTGGACGTGGCAGAGTTTGTGGTAGTGCTGCTGGTACTCGTAGAAGAAGAGTAAGATGCTGAGGGTGAAGAGGAGGAAGAGGAGCAAGAGGAGGAGGAGAGAGTGAGAGCGCTGAGGGCTCCTGCTGGCAGTGGCTGGCCTCTCTTCAGTAGCTGCTTGTGCTCCTGCTGACGGAAGCGCGGGGGCACCTCTCTGGGTGGGTAGCGAGCACTGGCAGAGGACAACTGGCACTGTTGCTGAGGGGGAGTCTGAGTCAGGAGCTGGCTACTGCAGGAGGCGCGCTTGCCATTGCCAGAAGAAGAGGAGGAGGAGGAGAGGGGCAGCGTGGGGCTGGCGGGGTGGTGGGATGGGCCGGGACTGGGCTTAGTGGGAGCAGGCTCTGGCACTGGACAGATACAATACATGGGCACACAAGCATTCACACACAGAAAGACAGATGCAGGTAGCAAGGTATTAATGTCGGGGTTAAGTCACTATTAATACTACACAGAGCAGAAGATATGTATTTGTCTGGGCAGTACCAACACTGAAAAAGGCTGAAAATATAGAGCTATTCTTTTTTTATAGGAGAGCTGTCAACCTTTTTAACAGAGCCATATGTATAGCCCACAGCATGCCAGCACATAAAACTCAAATCAAATTATATCCTAGCATATTTAATGGTCTTAACTACAATTAATGACACTTGAAGTCTGATGAAAAAAGCTTTAAAGACAGTTTACTAAAAATAGATGTTCATGCAGTGTAAATTCAGTGCATTTCATTTTATTTATGGTACTATCCAAGTATTGAGCAATCTAACCTTTTCTCTGCACTGCTCCTGTGAACTATCACCAGAAGTTAACTGCCTCATGTAGCCTGTTGTTGAGCATATGTTACTGACCCAGATGCAATCTATGAAAAGGTCAGATTTTTTTCTGCTGAAAGAACACTAACACACAAACATGTGGAGATACCTCTTTTTCTCCTAATTAAACTCGCCTCTCTATCTCTTCCTTTCACAGCACAGACACGCACACTTACACACGTTTCCCTTCCCTGCTGGTTTGGCCTCAGTCTGAACCTTTCCCTGTGGTTACACTGACCAGCCAGCCATCTAATTGAGTGTTAGCCTGAAAGGTGTTATTATTAGTAGGACTTGGATAGCCAGCAACCAAACAGATTGGCTTTGCTAAAGTTTTCTCTACAGGGTGCTGTAAGATTACACACTTCTTTATCGTCATGGGAACTGAGCAGCTTGTTGGTGTGAGTCTGTGGCTGTAGCATGTATAAGTACTCTACCTCACAATTTCCTGCTGCACAGAAATATTTGCTTTCATACTGACATCAATAGCGCGTAACTCAATAGCTGCTGTGAATTACAGTTTTTTGGTCCAAGGGAAAATACATGATGAATAGTTGATGATGTTATTTTCTATAGTCCCTGGATAGACACAACCATTCTACACAACAGCTGAGACTGCCTTGACTCACGGGAGTGGGAGAGGGACAGAAAGACAGTTCTTGTATTTGTAGAAGTAGGATGGCCAGTTTGTTCGAATGAAAAATAAATGGAATAGAAATTAATTAGTCCAAGCTGCAAATATCCTATTATCTGTATTTACATTCTCTTTCTTTATTACTTAGTTAATTAAATTAGTTATTAATTTCTTATTCTTATTGGCTGCAAATGCCTATCCACTTAAAAATAATTGAGTGATCTCATCTTCTTATAGTGCAACCAAGCTAAGAAAAACTTTACAATAATATTTGCATCCAATTTTTCAAACCATTTTTCTTTTAACTATCCAGTGTACCTCCCAAGTTTAGAATTTAACAGGAGGAAATAAAACAAAGAGAAAAATGCTCATTTTAGTTATATTAGGCCAGAGCTGTGGCCGCAACTCATTATCTGAGATCTATACTTGGCAACTAATGTTATATTTTTATATTCGTCAAAGAGAACAAACCCATGTGATTGATTTACTAACGGACAACACCCTGGCATGTCCCTTTAAAAGTTCACTTGCCATAAAACTAAAAAAAAAATGCTGTGTCCTTCCCTACCTTTGCATTCTCTCTAGTCAGGGCACTGCTGGGGAATTCCCCAATATCACTCAGCTCTTTGCCCAAAGAGGGTCTCGTCCCTTGGTTGGACAGACTCTAGTAGTTGTTCTGCTACTGAGATTTGCTGTGAACTAGAAGGCCAGTGCTCCAACCAAAGCTCACTTTGGTGGAGGTCATCCACAGAGGCGACTGCTTTTATTACTCAGTTACATGTCAAAAAGTACTTAGCAAATAACATATTTGCAGAAGAGAACTATTTAAGACCTACATTTTCAATATTTAAACATTATAAATTTAAATATACAAATAAACCTATAATAAAATATAATGCAATACGCTCACCTTATTGGGTGTGTTGACAACCATGTTTTCGCATTGGTAATTAATAAACATTTTCTATAGTGATAAAAAGATTCAAGGTCCTGTTTGCCAAAATACTACACGTGTGAATTGGTTGAATATGTTCAACTTCAATTTAAAATTAAATTAGATTCAATTTCAATTCAATTTTAAATTTCAAATTTTACTCTGAGAGTCTGAGAGGGAAGAGCTCCAGTGGGGTGAGATGGTACTATAAGGTCACTCAGATAAGATGGGGTCAAACTGCCCACTGAGATCACCAAACGCTTGAAGGTTATTGCACTCTGACCATAGTTGCTTGCAGCTATATTTAGGGGTTCAGTCTCTCTGGTATGAGAGTCTAAACTACTCCTACAGCAGGCCTATACTGCAGTGGTAGTAATTAACCACACAGTGACATGCACACACCAGCCAACATTACCGCATAGGAGGTTAAAATAAATCAGAGTGCAGAGGTATTCGCTGTGGCTGCCAAAAGCTTGTCCAAAAGCACAGCTGAAAACAGAGGCCCTCTCAGGGTGCCTACCTGCTGAAACACACTAACAGCAAGGGAATTTGCATTGATCTGTATCAGAAAGAAATACAAATTACAACCACTCACTAATATATGTTTTTTCCTGTAGAAAGTATTTTAAGTATTTGTATTCTTTTTATTTGAAATCAACACATAATGATCTTTAAAAAAAAATAAATTAAAAAAACCCCACTTCCCATACACAAAGAGTGTTATTCCACAGGCATACAAACGCACATTTAAGGTAAGAATTTTATATTTTGCATAGCATTTGACACATACAGGCAAAAAAGACACTTTCATAGTTGTTTTCATCCAATTCAATTGAGTTTTTAGAAAGAGAGAAAGAGGGAGACTGTGAGAGAGACAGGGATAAGAAGAGCCTTCCCCCTTCCAGCAGTATGTGGTTGGCTGTTGGCTTGGAACTGCAGCTGGTGACGCACATCTGATTTAATTCAGCGCTGCCCGCCTGACATTGTCTCAGCCAATCGTACGTCGGTATGGTGAATACACGCCGCCCTGCCCCCTTCCCTTTCTGTTCTACCCACTGTTTCCACCCCTGTTTCTCCCCTCATCTTCCCACCAGCAGGTTGCTCCGTAGCCCCAGTGCTCACTCACTCTCTTGCCATTCCTTTTTCCCATGTCTCCTTGTCTTTCACTGCTCACCATGTTATTCTCCCTCAGGGCCTTTATCCATCTTGATCCCTCATCTCTAGCCTTTCTGTCTCTTTTCACCCATGTCTTGTTTCTGTCTTTTTTTCCTTGCCATGTTCTTGTTTCCACTTCCTTATCCTTCCACTCCAAATCTCACCCTTTCATACAACCTGCCTTTATACCTTCTTTCTTCTCTCTTTGGTCTCTCTTCAAACTCCAGCCCAAAGTTTCTACTATACATCTTTTGCTTTCAGTTCTCCACATTTCTGTTACAAAAAGGAAAATCTTTTTTTTTTGTCTGATCAGCCACACACACACACACACGCACACGCACACACTCACACACACACACTCACACAAATCTGTTTGTTGTGGTAGTAACAAGGGTATGTGTCTTTCACACATATACAATAACTATTAAAGTTTTTTTTTTTTTTTAAATCATGCTGTCAAAACTTCCTTGCAGGGAAGCTTAAAAAACATCTCTTCTATAACACTTCCAAACTGGATAATGTGCAACCACCCTCAGTGTAATCTGTATTTAATAAGTACATCAGAATTGAGAATGAGAATTAATGCTCTCCTGAGAGGGAAGTAATGTGCGTGTGTGTGTGTGTGCGTGTGTGTAGACAGACAAAAATGAGACAGCAAAAATGGCTGTCTGAGTGCGTAAGAGGTGAGAAAAATAGTACAGACACTGTTCCCCTCTACCCTGCACAAACATAAATACATTTAATGAGACACGTCTTTCATTTTGCTCAGAGAGATTCCTAATCCATGATGGATGGTTAAGTGCTTTTGAAGAGGTGGGGGTGGGGTTTACAGAAAAAGAGAGCCAAGGAGAAAAAAAAGAAAAATAAGAGGTGTGTGTGTGTGTGTGTGTGTGTGTGGAAGGTGGAGGGGGTCCCTTTGATAAGTGTATAAGTATAAAAGATTAAAAGAGGAAAGTGAAGCATATGCTGGTTCACTGGGAATAGCAATGAAATTTACTGAATAAATTCATAATACATTTTAATTCAGCTTTGCATAAACAGGAATTCACTGTTTATTAAGCTCTTCTAAAAGGTCCAGTATCTTTTCTTAGAGATTCTAACTCAGATTTAAAAAAAAAAAAAAACACAAAAGCAAAAAAATTTTTTTTATAAATATTCACTCACAAGCAGGATTTAAAAGAATCTGAAGACATATTTACTGGGCATTCAAAATCAAACTACAGCTTTTCGACAATATCTCGATAAGAAACTAATTTTTAAAACTGCAAGGAAAGACAAATGGACTATTGGAAATAACTGTTTTACTAGCAATTGTAAATACAAAACTATCTGAATCTTCAACTAGTGCTGTGAAAACCAAATTTAGGCTTTTATGATGTGGTGGTCTGGCCCTTAGTGCCTCTAACTGAACCTGAAAATGAGAGCCAATTAAGTAAGCATCTGTATCAAGTGCCCTGCAAATTCCATTAAACCCTCCAGCTCAAGGACTCTCTGCAACCTCGCACCAAAGTTTTAATTAAAGCCATTCTTTTCACTAAATGGTTAATTACACAATCAAAAGGATCAGTGGCTTAAGAATAGTCTGCAAAAGAACACAAAAAACTTCAGCAGCAAACTGAAGTATATAACAAAATCACATATAGAACTGAAAATCCACGAATGAAGCACAAAAAAAAGAGTGTATCTGCTATTATAAAGAACTGATTTGCTCCTTGAGCTTAGTGCCAGGCAGTGCAGGTTCACACATCTCTTCTATTGTCTGCTGAGCCACTTTATTATGCAGCCATGTTTATAGAGGGGGGAGGGACAGACGCAACG